GCTACTTAGGAGGCTGAGGCAAGAGAATTGCCTAAGCCCAGGAGTTGGAGGTTGCTGTGAGCTGTGCTGCAACAGCACTCTACTGAGGGCAATAAAGTGAGACTGTCTCTTAAAAAAAAAAAAAAAGAATTGATGAATAAATTGAAGTATATCTCCAGCAATGAAAGTGATTAAACTATAGCTACAAAACATAATCAACATGGCTGAATCTCCAAAATAGTGTTAAGTGAAACAAATTCTCAAAGAACACATTCAATATCTTTCCACTTAGATAAAATTTAAAAAATATGCAAAATATGACTTGGCACCTATGGCTCAAGTGGCTAAGGTGCCAGCCACAAACACTGGAGCTTCTGGGTTCGAATCCAGCCTGGGCCAGCCAAACAACAATGACAACTACAACCAAAAAATAGCTGGGTGTTGTGGCAGGCGCCTGTAGTCCCAGCTATTTGGGAAGCTGAGGCAAGAGAATTGCTTAAGCCCAGGAGTTGGAAGTTGCTGTGAGCTGTGACATGACAGCACTCTACCCAGGGCAACAGCTTGAGGCTATGTCTCAAAAAAAATAAAAATAAAATATTATTTCAGTTACACATTGAAGTGCTAATACTATAAAGAATATCAAGAGAATAAAAAACAGAACAGGATAAGGGAGATGGAGGAAAGGGACATATTTGGGATCTTAGTACTTAAAAACCATTTATTTAATTTATTTTTTTTTTTCTTTTGAGACAGAGTCTCACTTTGTTGCCCTCAGTGGAGTACCACAGCGTCATGGCTCATAGCAACCTCAAACTCTTGGGCTCAAATGATTCTCTTACCTCAGCCTCCCAACTGGCTGGGATGACAGGTGCCCACCACAGTGCCCAGCTATTTTTGTTGTTGTCATTGCCATTGTTGCTTAGTAGGCCCCCACGAGGTTCGAACCCACCAGCTTCCGTGCATGTGGCCAGCACCCTAACCACTGAGCTGGCCAAGTGGGGAACAATTTGGGCACTACAGGGGAACAAGGTGCCAAGCCTGGGGAACAATTTGTCTTTACTTAGAAACTTTAATATAACATTTGAAGGAATCATGGCGAAACCTGCCTTTTTTGTTGGTTGGTTAGCTGAAAGATCAACTCACAATTATGGTATATTAATAAGAGAAAGGTTTATTGGCTTGGCTCAGGGGCCTCAGTGGTTAGGGCACTGGCCGCATAGACCGGGGATGTTGAATTCAAAACCGGCCTGAGCCTGCTAAACAACGACAACTACAACAAAAATATATCTGGGCATTGTGGTGGGCGCCAGTAGTCCCAGTTACTTGGCAGGCTGAGGTCAGAGAATCACTTAAGCCCAAGAGTTGTTGTTGTGACAACTGCAACAACAATAACAAAAATAGTTGGGTGTTGTGGTGGCGCATGTAGTGCCCAGCTACTTGGGAGGCTGAGGCAAGAGAATTGCTTAAGCCC